AGCTACTCTTTAGAACACATTTTAAAATCAAAGTGATTAAAAATATTGCAAATCAGAGCACACTAACCCTACAGGATCACAGATTGTTTCTAAACTCTCAGCCGTGTTGCACAATCAGCCACGAACCAGCTCTGTGTTAGGATGAAGCCTGAGCATGAAAGCCAGAAAGAGGAGCACAGCTGAACACTCTCCCAAGCTGAACAGCCAAGCCATTAGCATTGCAGAAGTACACAATCCTCAGTGCACATAACTGCAGAATAGCATCCTACATAAAATTTTTCAGTAGTATTAAATAAGAAAAATATTTAAACATTTGCTTGGAGACAAGTAAGGGATGCAGAAAAAGTTTTTTCCATCAAGACCACCACTGGTATTTACAGAAAATTCTCAATTAAATTTACATTAATGGACATATGTTTTGACTTCTACATCATTATGTACTTTTACAATGTCATGTCATTGTCCACTTCCATGACAGGATGGTGCACTTTTTCTCCTTTTTTTTTTTTTTTTTTTTTCTGGTTTTGAGTGATGTTTGCTGTCTTCTGTCTTTCCTTCTACACCATTCTAAACCCTGGAGAAAAGCTGGACTTTGCAATGTGATACAGTGAAACTTGAGTGAAAAGATCAGCAGTTTTGAACTGTATAGTTTTCCAAAGTAAATGTTTCTTTAAAGAACATGGTCTAGCAACCTTGGTTAGATCCTGATTATACCATCTCAGCTGATCCTGCTGACTATGTAAATCTGAAGGGATTTCCACCTTTAAAACAGTAGTTCAAATCTATTTAGTATTACTGAGATCAATAATTCAGATTCCTAGAGATGAATATGTACACAGTGTCCTGTTGCCTTCTTTCTCTTGGTCTTCTTTTGGGGGAACTTGCATGTGTAACTCCTCCAAAAACATCTGAATTGAGATTTCAAGTTGGCAGGAGGTGTTTGCTCTCCTTTGTTGGAGGGCATACAGAAGGATTTCTATATATTTGGGTCACTTCTTTTTTTCCAGCCATCATAATTTATTTCTTATCTGGGTCCTGTGGCTGTGCATCAGTGGCTACAGCTTAGGAATCAAAAGTTTTGAACTGCATGCCATCACCACTGCAGAGACATTATAGTCTTAAGTGCATGGTCAGTGGTCTGGTAGTGGCATGGGTTAGTCAGTCATCTCTGAAATGGCCAGTAAACTACGAACAGAGCGAGTAAGAATAGCTCCTTTCACTGTGTAGAACAGTGGAAGTCTGGTTCCTCCACATCTGGTTATATTAATTTCTGATTTGTGTTGGTTCCTTTGCTGGTTTAGCTAATGGATGAGTGAGCCCCAGGCTCTTGTTAATCTAGTGTACTGGTCTAGAAGTCTGGTGTTGGTTTCTTTTTTCTAGCAGTTGGCACTTTTACCAGTGTATGATATTTTCTAGATAAAAACAGATGATTCCATGTAAATAACAGGAAATGTGCATTTTAAGCCAAGACACTTGTTAAATGCTAAGAAATGTTGTGTCTAATAGAAATACCTCTTTAAATGGATTTACTTAGTAGTGGCTGGAAAAGCTGTCAGATGCCTGGACAGATTTTTTTCCGCTCTCCCTGGAATTGCGTCATTAATAACTTTATGTAAGATATCAATGTCCTCAGCTGAAGACCTATTTGTAATTCAGTTTTAAACTTCAGGAAGGATCAGAGGTCCTCCAATCAAACAAGACAGAAAATCTGAAATTTATTTGTATTTTTTTTCCTTGTTCATTTCAAGTTTATTTAAATTAGTAAATAGTGAAAAGACAAAAGTGTAGAGCAGGTTGCTCAGAGAGGTTGTGCAGTTTCCATGTTTGGAGGTCTGCAAGACCCAACCAGGTCAAGCCTTGAGTGACCTGCTGTGACCTCAGAGCTTGCCCTGCTTTGAGTGGAAGGCTGCACCGGAGACTTCCCATGATGGAGACCTTCCCACTGGAGTTGTCTGGTGAAGCTACAAATAAAAATTAAGACCTCTTCAAAATGTCAAGATACTCTACTGACTGTGAGTGGAGCTATCATGGTTGTAACTCTTCTTGGGTTTAGGTGGGAATGGCATAACCTCTTATACTTTTCATTTTGGCTAAATATATGCTGTTCTTAATAAAGATGTGGAAAGCACATTAAAGCAGGACAAAATTGTCATCACCACTTTAAATTCTCTGCAAATAATTGGGCTGATCCTGAGTGTCAGGTGCCCATGGTCTGTACAGAGCTCTGGTATTTTCACTGTACTTTCTGTGGTTTGTGGGGTGGAAGACAAAAAGAGGAAGAAGAAGTGATCAGTTTTGTAGCGGACATGTCTCATTCCTTAGGGAGTTGCTTATGAATTAAATTTTACTAGTCATCATATTAATGCCCCTGGAGAATGGCTGGGATTGCCTCTGAACTCTTAGCAACTGAAAGTTAATTTATATAGTAATTGGATGACATAAAGTGCAAGCAGACCAAAAATGTATACATAAAAAAAAACCCCACATGGTAATATAATGTGAAAGAGATGGCATTAGGTAGCTTTGAGAGAAAAAATAGTTTACAGTCACTAAACTTATCTTCCTACTTCTTTTAGTGCTCCCAGTAGTGGGATCCTGCTAATGGAAATGTTAAATATTTAATATCTGACATTTCTATAATGTCTATGTAGTGCACTAAAGATTAAGTATTTTAGGGTACATTTAATTAAAAAAAATGAAAGCACTTTTCAGACTGTTACAGAGGAAGCTGTCAGTGAACCTTGTGTTTAGATTGCATGTTGATTTCAGCTTTAATAGACTCTGGCTACGTAATTGCAGCAAGCTAGATATGGAAGTCCTGATATTCAAGTAGTGCCTTTTGTGCATCCTCTGGGAACCTACTGAGTTGTGGCAGGCTCCCTGTTGCACTTCCCAAATTAAGCAAGCATGCCAAAACCACAGAGTGGTTTCCACAGCCATGATAATCTTGATTTTCAGTGAGACTTGCTAGTCTTATCTAGGAGGTGATGCAAGATCTTACAAATACAAACTGTTGTGGTGCGTTCCCACAAAGAAGTGCAAGAAAAGCCAGGTCTGTCTCCTCCATCTCTGCCCTTTCTATCCTCACTGTTTTCTGTTGTTTCCCTCATAAGGCTCAGTGTTGCTTCCACAGGGAACATGCTAGTAGTGTTCATTCCTGTAGGAAATGAACTAAAAAATTCCACCCTTAGTTTTGAGGGCAACAAATATCTGTTCAATTTAGGCCTTAAATCCCTTTCTAATAATATAGCAGTGACTTTTTTAGTTTTGGTGTATAGTACAAATTGGTACAAGCACAGTAATTTAATTCCTTTCTTTTACTGCTTATGTTAACATTGAAACTGATTTATATGGATTACATATGTTCTGTAATAGTTGCTAGCCAGTATCCATTTGTGAAGATATGTTGTGTGACTGTCAGAGTTACTGCCATCAGTCTGATGCACTTTGCTTGACTTGAAGCCTGTAACAATTCTGTGAAATAAGCTGCATGAGCAAGATAGATTGCAAACTTTAACACTAGAGGAATACCTGAGTGCACACTCATTTGATTTAAATGGAAATGAAATGACTTCCAGGCATTCTTTGACCTTTCAGTGATACCAGAGTGAATCTGCAGCTGCAACCTAAGTATTGTGATTTTTATCTAATGACTTAGTGATTAACTGTATATTACTGCTTATCTAATTAAAAGATAAGCAATAAAAAAATGTGTGCTTTCCTTGTACATTTGTTTCATCTTGATAAAATAGGTAGCTAGCAAATGATCTTAACTAAGAGGAATGGTACAGCATTTTAACTGTACCATGTATACATGCAGATACATAATCGACCTGTAACTGCAGCTTCTGTGAAGTTTAATCATAGCACAAGGATGTACAGTTTGTTTGCTTTCTTAAAATTTGAATGGAGTTGAATAAGTATGTAAGTATATTGAGTGGAAACTACTAGGAAGGAGATTCTGTTAATGTTCTTGACACTAAGATCTATTTTTACCATGATTAACCATCTTTTAGAAATACTAGTACTGTGATTTGAAACTGAAATACATGTAGGGA